TATTTGTTTTCATAAACAAAAATTCAAATTCTTTTAGACTCCACAAATACAGTTTTCAATCTCTTTATTATCCGACCACACCACTGGATATAGTCCCAGTCTAAGGACATGCCTTGAGCACAGGTGATCAGTCTTGACACACAAGTTACTTTGTTTTGAGACATTGCTATTACCCTTGTCATGGATGGATGCCTGTAGGAGGTTTGGTATTAGAAATGCTTTGGTCTTTCATACCTTCAGTGAATGTTACAGTTTGGGAGCAAGACTTGGGTTTCCTTTCCTGATGAGGAAGGCTCTTTGTTCCTCTGGTAATTCAACTCTTGTAGTACTAAGGAAGTGAAATATTCCTTCTAATCAGAGCTTTTATTTCTCTGATCTTCCATAGCTTCCTCTTTAACATGCTGAAAATTAAGTTTAGTCGTGCTGCATCTTGCATCAGACAGAACGTTTCAGTGTCTTTCTAGTGGAGCTTTCCATCATGAAGATACATTTTGGTTCATCATTTGACTGGAAAAGTAATAAATCTGATGGGGTGTTACCAAACCACTAAAAAGATGTGGCAAGGTGTGTCCACATGGGCTATTTGCAGGTGATGTGTGGCATGCTTGTGAGGACCTGATGTGTCTGGGCTGCCAATGCATCTGTGGGCACACAGTGGTCCCAGCATTTTCTAAGACTCCACTTCTAAGAGTTGTGCAAACACAGTTGACTTCAGTACTGATTTCAGCTGGGGGAGCTAATACTTTAAAAGTAGACTTCAGAGGTTTAAATGATACCCACGGAGTGGACAATACTGTGGGCTTTAAGAAGTTCTTTAATTTTTCGCATTTGGTATCAATGAAAAAGGTGGGTCATTTTTATTATCTCTATGATAACAGTTCTGACACCACTAAGAAGACACACTGATTTTCAGTAGGAATTTGGCACTTTCCTTTCTTAGGTACTGTTGAAAATGTCATACACTGGCTTTGCTGTTATTGCATGTGCTGTAAGTGTTTCTGCTGGCCACAGTGGAGAGCGGGACCCTCTGTGAAACCCTGAGAGTTCAGGCTCAGGTCATGGCTGAGTCCAGCACAGGGTGGGGTGTGGTACCCAACAAGTAGAAACCTGGCTTCCTAGCATGTGCCAAGGGTGGTAGCAGGCAACAGCAGCTGGGTCCTTGGAGAAGCAGCTTGTGGAGACAGGTTGTATAAATTATGCACAGCAGAGAGGTAAAACTGCTGTGCTGTGAGTGAGCAAAACCATGTCATTGGAGATGGAAACTCAGTGAGGCAGTTTGCTTGGGGTCATTCTCCAGTGCTGGCTTATATAGATGTTAGAGGAGAGGTCAGTTACTGCCGTGCACTGGTAGTCACCCTGTCCTGCAAACAGTAGTGTGGGGGACTGCCTCTTCCTTGGCAGCACACTATTAATTGTCACGCGTAAGCTTTGTATCACAAGGACTGTGGTCCCTAGCAGTAACTACCTGCTTGTCTGTGTCTGTGAACTGGCCGTGTCCCAGACTGTGTTCATCAGAGGCATGCTTAGGTTGTGTTCTGCTGCATAATCAGAGGTTATTGTGAACGCTAAAAAAATCCACACACTGTGTATATATAATTAGTTCTTTTTAGTGGTTTGGTAATACCCCATCAGATTTATTACTTTTCCAGTCAAATGCACAGCTCACTTCATGACTGATTTCTGTTTCTTACTGTTTTCTGGCATGGAATTCCTTTTAGTTAGAATTCATATGATTCATGGGTTACAGACTTTTCTGTTGAAGTGCAATATGCCTACAGAGGCAGTTGCAATTGCCACCACACTTGTGACTTAATCTATGTAAAAACCCACAAGAATCAGCGATTTGGAAGAAATTCCTACCTGCTGTTTGTGTAGGATGGCCATCTGTCTGGCAAATCCCCATGCGGAAGTCAGATACGTCTGAGAAGAGCCAGACAACCTTCTGACACCTGTTTCTCCAGCATCTGTAGTTGCTTATTCCGCTTTTTTATTTTCTCACCAGGTGCTGTTGAGATTGGGTTTTGGATCCGCATTCTGCATCTTTTGAATTCTAGTCCCAGCACTGTGTACAATGCAGGATCATTCTGACCAAATCACCCTTTCTCTTTCCACGCTCAATTTTTGGGAGCTCCTAATTACACCTTAGGAAGTGCTCCTGAATTTGGGCACCTCAGTTCAGTCACGGGAATTGATAAATACCCAACTTCTTTAGTCAGTTCTGGAAAATACCTTTAGTATTGAAAAACACTGAGACAAATTGGCTTTTAATATTAAGTGGCATCTTCTGTTTGAGAGTCATTCTACATATATTCATGACCCTCCATGTAAATGGATTCCAAGATGCAGAAAAAGGTAGTGCAAGTGTCAAAGTGGTACTTTGTAAAGATACTCCTTTTACCTGCTAGAAATTTAATATCTTCATAAATAACTGAGTATTGACAAAGCCATCCATTCTGAGCCCATGGTAGAATACAAATACCAGTTTGCCTATTGAGATCTTCTCATTCACAAATTGTCCTCAGTTTCTGTGTGAGACATCTTCTAAGCAATAAGAACAAACATTTCATAACTTGGTATGTGTAAGTTTTCAGGCACTTATATTAATTTAAAAGCTTATAAAATCATGCAAGAAGGCATGCAGCCAGGAACAGCTGGTTTGCTTTGCTGTCTTCCATAGTGCCTACATTATACAAAGTGTTTGACCCCCATGAGGCTTAACACACCATTCCAGTGTTAACTCCAAAGATATCTTCAAAGACATCCAGATTAAACTAGCAAAAGATGTCTTCTGCATCTCTAGTGTATGGTCTTTTGCGCATGGTACATGGCATGCTGCACTGGACTTCTTTGTTGAAGCAGCAGCCATGATAAACACAACCTTCTGTATCTCCTGTAATGGTATCTCCTCCAACTAAAGGTTAAGGTGTCACCCAGTGATTTATCCTTCCTAATGGATTCGTTGGATTGCTGTGATAGGGATGTAATTTACTACCTTTTGTACATCAGAGGTTGTGTTCTCAAAATGGTGTTTGGGGATTTATGATATTGAACAGGGTGAATTACATGTCAAATTATGAACCATCCTGTTTGACATTTAGTCAGCGCTGACAGGAACTAGGTGTTTAGCAAGATGAGGCTTCTGTAACACAGTCTTTCAATAGGATTGTTTTATTTCAAGGGTGTTGTTAATCAAACATTTCTGGAGAAAATCTGTAAAATAGACGGTTAACTGCATTGACTGTAGTGCTGTGGCCAGCAAGATGTTAGTGGTGTGTGTTGTAGCTGTCATCTTCCCTGCAGAATGTTGGTAAGGCATTGCTCCTTGATGGAAAATATTTCATCTGGTAATCCATCAAGTCGTTGCAGTTTGGAGGCAGGTGGCACCCTGATGTAAAGACTCCCTGCCTTAGGAGTGCCTGCCAGTATTTGAATGGTATTTTTGAGAGGAGCAAGGGACCTCTTCAGGCTTCATTATTCCCACAGCTCTGTACACATTCGCAGAACTAAGGAGGTTGCTTGGCACATGCACTTTTTCAAAGTATATTCCTATCTGGAAACATTTCATTAAAGATTTCCTTCCTACAGTTCCTGACTTCTTTATCTGACAGTTCTTGATTGGTTGATACAGCTTATGATTTGTTCTTGACCATTTTTTTACTGTGTGCTCTATGACCTTAAATCAGTATGCTCCAAATGCTGCTTTGTGGATTATATCTAGACTGTTGGATGCTTCAATATAGCTTTCTGTCTTGTCTCCAGAGGAGGCAAAATATGTCTGTTTGCATAGAGCACCCTGTCTAACCATTTGATTGCCTCCCTTTGAGCCTCTGATCCCACTGACATAGACCTGAAGCTGCCTTTACTGCATCCACACAGGAGGAGGAGATGTAGCTGGGAAGCATGTCCTTGTTTCTACCTGTGTTGTCAAATGGGAGTTGCTGCTTCTGTGAGGAACCTGTTTTTGATCTAAGTGACTGCCTTGACTGCCTAGAATGGACCACCTATTGAATAAGGGTTCAAATGAAAGCCAGTAATTTAATGTCTGTATACATAAACAAGGAGAAAGTTCTGACATAACCTGTGAAAACAAAAGGGGACATGCGTCAGTTTACAAGCCTGCTTACACCTCTTGCGTCCTTGCTCAGTGCTGTAACTCTAGGCAACATTGGAGAGGGCAGCAGCTTATTGCATTGTTTGAGCGTATGATCAACCAGGCAAAGAGAAAATGAGGACACGCGATGAATTTGGCAATAGTATTCCAGGACAGAGTGGCTGCCCTCTTCAAACTGCCAAGCCCTCTGGTCTATTCTCTTGACTTAGAAATTGAGAATGCAGATCAGAATCTTTCCTAGTGAGTTGTCTGCTGCTTGTCTTTTTCAGGGAAAAAGGAAAAGTCATTGCTTCAATACAGATATTCTATCCTTACATTTAATCTCCCAGAAGGCCTCTATGTGATAAGAATTACTGTCATGGATATTGCATAACAGTTTATGCATAAAGTTTAATGCATTCTCAGTTTTATGAGATATGAATAATATTGGAGACATTTTGCATAGTAGTTTAGATTTACACTTTCTTTTTAAGGTGGAAACAAGAGGGACATTTCTAATGCTCTTCAATGACAGTGGAAGAATTGAGATAGTTACTATTAAAACTGAATAAAATCTGTAGAACTGGAAAAGAGAAAAATACATTGCATAGGTGGATTATGGGCAAATCATAAACGTTTAAAGCATTTCTGGAGGTTAGAAATGCCATGCCTTTATTTGAATACCATAGCTGTTTCAGCACCCTTCCTCAGCACTCTGTCCAGGGTGGGTTGCTGCTTGGTGTGGAAGGTTGGAACTCAGCTGGGAGGACACAGTTTTGAAGAATGTTTCTTCTTGTTTAAGGTTTATTATTAAAATGAAAGCAATCAGCATAAAAAAAATGATTTCCTGCATGTGAAACTTCTGTTAAGAGTCAACTCACATAGTATGTATTTGTTTTGTGACATACAGGATAGCTTTCCAGCTCGGTTTGGAGGAATACATTTCGTCAATCAGCCGTGGTATATCCATGCCCTCTACACAGTTATACGGCCCTTTTTAAAGGAGAAGACACGAAAAAGGGTATTCTTCTGTTTACTTGTCCATTGCCTGACAGTTGTAGTCAGCAGATGTATTGTACTCTAATAAAGTAGATATACACAATGTATCAGCTTGCTATTGGTGGAAAGTATTTAAATACATCCGCATTGTAAAGAGTGTCTTTAACTGTTTTAGAAACATATACAGCATTATCCTTTAAGGACACAGTCAAGCCGCGCACTTAAATGTATTTTAAAATGTAAGCATATGCTGTCTCCTGGGTTATATAAAAATATTGCCAACATTACAGTTTCTATTATGATTCTATTAAATTCAATTCTATTCAATTTCTGTTAAAATTATTTGTGTCTTGCTTTTAAGAACAGAGGTAGTGAGTATGAAGTCCTTTCCCAGTGTTATTTCCTTGATATTAGCATGAACTAAAATACACAGTTGGTATATAGTAGTTTGAAAAAACTGATTTGAATGAAAGCCAATGAAAGGAAATTTGTGTGCATGCATCTGGGCATAAGCATGAGCAGTCTCCGAGATGTCGCTGAATTTGTAGCCTTTGCATCAGTGCAATTAAGTTAGAGCTTGGTGGTGATAGCACATAGAATGATATTATTTCTGTAACAGGAAATTTGTCATCCAGGAAAACACAATCAGCATCACATACAAAGCTGCTACAAAGAGTATGATGATCTTTTTTTTTTTTTTTGGGGGGGGGGAGAGATCAGCTCTCTAAGCAACTCTGTATTTTTTCTCCTCAAACACAGTCTACAAGGCCACAATGATCCTTGGTGTTTAGCTGTTTTTTACTGACAGATTATGCTTGAGAGGCCTCTGGTATTCACAGATTTTGAACTATAGATCACAAAGGCTTTTATGTAATATCTGTTATAAATATGCAAATGAAACCCCATTTTGCAGGATTCAGTTGCACTCTATTGACTATGGCTTCAACAAAGAACATTATAGTGCCAGAAATGTTTGAGGCCTTTTTAAGTCAAGTGCTGCGTATGCATAACCAGGGATTAAAGTACAGTTCATGGGTGTGTTACAACATTAAAAGTAAGTGACAAAGTAGTTGAACATGGGCGTTTATCAGTTAACACCTAAATTTTTATTTAGACACCTGAATCGGTGGCATATATTTTCAGAAATGCTGACCTTTTACAACTGTTCACATATATACTGAATACGTATAAGAAGTAGTCAGGTGGTTAAATATCAATTTAGAGTCCAAAACTTAGTGTTAAGATGTGAAAGGTATGCCCAGCACATAAAATTTAAAATCAGCTTTAAAAAAAACCATAAGAGACTGAACAAATGATTGTGAAAAAACCTCAGACCCAACAGAATTCTCTTCAGAATTTTATCAGGCTCGTTATTTGTCTGTTGTGTTTATTCTGAATTATTTTGTATGTTTTTAATATGTCTGGTAGATTTGCAACAGATATCTATATTCAGATCAATGTAGTACTAGGCATGTATAAAAACAGTTGTTAAGAAGTGAAACATTCAGTTGGAAAGGCACCATAAAACAGATTACTTTTGCCATTAATATTTGTTCTCTCACACAAGGATAAATTCCTTTCTGAGATGGAAGAACATTATCGGGTTTGCACGGTCATATTAAGCTTCCTGTCTCCACAGCTGACTGGAGGATGGGCTGAAATAAGCAATACAAGACAAGGATATGCTTGGTCTTTTTGTCTTTCTGCCTTTTGAGTGTAACCCTTGATAAATCATGCCAGGGGTATAGTTGTCCAGAGAAATCCCTGCAAGGTGAAGTGGGATGTGAATTGACAGCGCTTGATGTCTGGCTGTGCACGCACCTCTGCCTGCCCTGTGGGGAACGAGAGGCAGCGTACAGCTGTTTAGAGGCACCATCCTACCTTGCCTTCCTGGTTACTTCAGCACTAGTAAATTAAAAAGCACTGGGCACTGCCATTCCTCCTGTTTAATTGTACAGGCACTTTCTGGGATGGCACTGGCTGGTGCCAGCTGGTGCTTTCTTAGATGCTGCCCAGGAACAATTTGGGATGGCATGGAGCAGTGAGCAGTATGAATGAGGTGAGCTTGTTCTGGAGATGAAAGGAGTTTAACCATATGGATGTGAACTGTGCCATGGCACTTGCTCTTAGTCCCAGGGAATGAATCCTGACCCATCTTACTTGCTAGTCTAGAAATAGCTGCTGTGAGCTGTCTGCGTAGCCATACGCAAGAGCAGGCATTTCCTCCCAGTGGAAGGTCTGCAGGTCCCTAGTATCTGTGGGAAAGGCTGTCCAAATCCAGAGGTGCTCTGTTTCTAGTGCTCATTGGTCACACATTCCAGGTCTCTGAGGAGAAACAATAAGATTAAATATAAACATGAACATATACATTTATATAAATGTAAAGCATATCTGAAAATAAATCAGTCTACCAAAACACTGATGGAAAACATCAAGTAGTCCATCAACTATTCCCTTATTGTTGTCACAGAAATAATTGTGTTGTTATTACTTACTTCATATATTGTCAAGTATGAATGGTAGTTACTAGTACCACTATATCAAGGAAGAAAATCTTTCCAGTGGAGTTTTCATTACACTGAACTATTATTTATAGAACTCATGGCTAGATGCTGAAAGTCAATACATATTCCTTAATGTATATGGTGAATATTAATTTTATTTATTATTTATGGTCTTAATTTATTCAGTTAATTTAATTCACAGGATTAGGGAAAGCAAATAACAAGAGATAGGCAGTCTGTCTAATCTTCAGTCCATCTAGTTACCTGACGTCAGTTCTTACCCTCCTTAGGCCTCTTGTCCTGCAAACATTTAAAGTCATTTATGCGTTAATCAGTTTGTAGGTTTATGAATATAGTATGACCATGCTTAAGGCAGAGGCGATGTGTGTGTTGGTAGCCATCTCTGTTAGCTGAACACAGCTAGAATATTGGAACTGTACAATATCCTCTAATAATGATGATGTAATTTGGCCTTTGACGATTTTTGTGATACAGCTTTGTTTTTACCTGCATGTGTACATACAGATATTCCTGCATGGTAATAACCTCAACAGCCTACATCAGCTAATACACCCTGAGATCCTGCCTTCAGAGTTTGGAGGAATGTTGCCCCCCTATGACATGGGAACATGGGCAAGAACACTGCTTGACCATGAATATGATGATGACAGTGAATGCAACGTGGACTCCTACAATGCTCCTGCAAAGGATATAGAAAAGGACCTCTCTCCCAAATCCATGAAAAGGTGGGTTAAAGGTACTGTGGTCTTCTAGTATTGCCATAAGGTTAACACTTGTCTTCCTCTTCTTTTCTGAAGCTGCAGGCAGTTACCTCAGTTTATTATATAGGAGGACTGGGTTTTTTTCCTTTCTTAAGATCACTGTTGATTTTAGACCATAGTGTCCATTATTAGCCATGTGAATTGTGAGCTCAGTACAGCTAATTATTTCCATGGTGCCATATAGGTAATGTATACAGTACTGTATTTGCAATAAGCTGATATCCCACCCCAGCCTACAGTAAGTATTAGAGAGACAGTGCTATCTGGAGTGAGTCTCGGTGCAGAGGATAATTGGGGCCAATTATCCAGCTGGGTGGTGATGATAACTCTTAGCTTCCTCCATCCCATAGCCCAGTGCCTGTATCCACCAGCCTGTAGGTGCCAGGACATTTACAGCATCTGAACTGTCAGTCACAGTGACTGCACACTATGTGAGAAAAAGTAATGAGGAGAACCAGGACAGAAATCAGTGCCAATCATTATGCTCCGGACTGGTAAACATCCTGGCTTTCTGATATTCTTCTCTTTGAGAAGATACAGTATAATTGCTTGCTGCATTTTATAATTCAAAATAAAGTGTAGGGAAATGTTAGTTACCTCTCCAGTAACTATGGAAGGAGTGAGGTGGTTCACTTGGGAGGGGTAAACCTGGTCCAACCTTGCCAGGGCAGTAGAAGAAAAAAGGGAAAGATTACAGCAGGGTGATAGAAAAGGTTAAGGAGGGAAGCAAAAGTCAGAGTGCAGCTCATAAGGCGTAGGCCTAGCAATGAATCAGAAGACAACAAACAGAGCAGAAAACAATCTATAAAGTCATTAAAATTAAGTCAGAATATGCTAAGCTGAGAATTCAGTTTTAGGAGATGGTATTTGATTCGAAGGGGAGAGAGACTCTGGAAGCAGACCAAACAGGATAAAATATTTTCAGACTCCTCAGTCAGGAAGATGATTTTGGCTGGAAAATGTTGCATAGGTTGGGGAGGACAGTGTGATTTGAAAGGGAGATATTTTTTGGGAAATAGAGAGGAGACAACAGGAGATTGGCATAGGAATAAAAAAAGAAAAAAAGCAGTGAAGTTTAAGGATTTTGTGTTGAAAAAAACCTACAGTGCATTGAAAGCGGGAAATAGCAAGGGACTGGATGGGAATGAACTGGGATAAGAAGTTAAAAAAGGTCCTGAAGCCATATGACAAAGATGCAATTAACACAAGTAACAGAGAAAATGGGACAGCAAAGAGCCAGGGGAAGGGGAAAAGTGAGCAATACATTTATATATGATTTGCATGTAATACAAGAATTGTGAGACAATAGACAAGTTGTCTTGGAGAGAAGGGTGGAATTTAGGAGCTGAAATGCAGAAGTCTTACGGTTGCAAAATGAAGTCATGAGAGTAAACAGCTTCATCCAAGGATGCAACAAAAAAACATGAGAAGGTCTGTGACAAGACCCTTTGAAGCAGACTTTTCCAGACTATCCTGGGCAAGAACATTATTAAATGGAAAAGCAGTGGATTGACCAGATTCTTCAGTCTTTCTCAAAGAACGCTTTCTCATGCTTGCCTGTTTTATTCTCATCTAACCTGTGCTTGAAATATCCTTCATGTAGAATTACACTTCAGTGTAAACTTCAAAATGACATTCTTTCAGTCTGGGTTAGCTGACATAGGAGACATACTGCAGAAAATAAGCATGTTGAAATTTGTACCTACACACTATTGAGCTTAAATTTCCTTACCTTCCTCGCATTCTTTTTCAGCTTGCGTGTCTGCAGCACCTCCTGGAATCCTTCTTCCCTGCTGTTGGATATAAAAAGTACTAAGTAGACTTACGGTGCTAGTACCAACTAGAAGGGAGTACTAGTAAGATGGACAGAAAGTCCAGGACTTTGATGTATTAAATGCACAGACTGTGTTAAAACAGAAATAGAAAAGTTAAGGTAAAACAGATAAACCCTATTTCATTAAAAAGTAAATTTAACTTGAATTTGGCACCTGATGGATTGTTTCTCTCAGTTTAAAATCACACTCAGTGTGGTACATTAGTGCAGAAGAAGGTTTTTAACATAAAAACCCATGACAGTAAGTCAATGAAAAGTGCTTAACTTCTTAGAACAAATTTCACAAGAGTCTAGCAGATCTCCAACAATTATGTTGTTTAATTTGGCTTGCCATTTTAAAATGAGTTTATTGCTCTGAAAGAATATCCTTCTTAAACCAAAATCCTGCTGCGAATTCACTTCTTTGTTACTCATTTTTGCCCCGATATGAACCAGCGACATTCCTCCAGATCTCCTTGAACTTTTGGTGAATTGGATGATCAGTGCTTGAAAAGAAGGCTGATCATGGGGATGGTGGTGGAAATAAGGAGGAATTAATCCCACCTGTAGCACAGACCTCTGGGGAGAACGTGTTTACATCATGGGGCACCATTGCAGCTGTCTCAGCAGTCAGGTTTAGCCTGTGGCTGTGCCCACCCGTGGCTCTCACGGCTGAGGCACCCAGCTGGAGACCTGCATCCTCTTCTCACCTAACCCCGCAGGGCAGGTGTCTGTGTTCATAGAATCATAGAATCATAGAATCGTCTAGGTTGGAAAAGACCTTTAAGATCATCCAGTCCAACCATTAATCTACACTACCAAGCCCACCTAAACCAATCAAGGGTAGACTAGACTAAACCATATCCCGAAGTGCCACATCTACCTGTTTTTTGAACACTTCCAGGGATGGTGACTCCACCACCTCTCTGGGCAGCCTGTTCCAATGCTTGAAGTGTTGATCAGCTTTGCAAAGTATCTCTGTGTGGCTTTGGTTCCTCACCTCTGCCGTGGGGCTTTGTAGTACCACTCTGCCCTACTGTGTTTTGTGAGAATTTATTCAGTAACATCTGCGAAGTTATTTGGGAGATGTAGATAGAAGGTGCTATAGACTTACACAAATGTTTTTCCTTTTGCGTACCTTCATTCATAAATTGCTGCTGAATGGAATGAAACATGACAGAAAATGTTGATTTAAAACTGAATGAAAACTATTTCTCCTTCTTCAAGGCAATTAAGCTTCTGAGCTTACAAACCATAGATCAGGCCTTGTGCAGTTTCATTTTCACATCTGCCTTGGCATCAGGGAGTTTGGAGGCCCTGGAAATTTGTGGCCAAAACTGCCTGGGAATTTGAGGCCAGGGTTGCAGCCTTTCCAGCTTCCCTCCAGTTCCCCAGCTGAGCACTGGAAACCTTGGCTGCTCAGACATTGGCAGCCTAGGAAAAGGCTCAGTCTCCTATTAGTACTTACATTCAGTTGAGAATTCTTTCAAATTAGTATGCTTCCACAGCATTTTTTATCTTGATGAACTGGATTTTCCAGGAGTGCAGCTTCCTACCAGCACATTTTCCATCAACTTTGCATTGGCAAAGTAGCTTGTGAAGATTTTAAAAAAGCAATGTTAATTCAGTGGTTTAGTTTTCTGCCTGAGGAACCGACCAGCATTCTAGATGAGGGTTATTGTACAGTTTTAATTAAAAATTTTTAATTATGTTTATCACAAGAGAGACCATTGGATTTTTAAAGCTAATTTTCTTGATTTTAGCATTAGTAAGAGAATGTGGTAAGTATTATTAGAAAATATTTTTGTGTTTAAAGTTTTCACTTAGGCTTTAATTCAGATGTTTTTTCCTAAGTTTTTGAAGGTTTTCTTTAGATTTTTTGAGAAAGATCAAATTGTCTCTTGCTATCAGCCTCATTTGTTTGTTTCACTGGATGATGCCACTTTATAAGAGTGTGGGATTGACTCTGTGTATTTATGTTAGAAGAGGTCAGAATTCATAACGGATTTTCTCTGTGCTGTAGCCCTCCAAATGGGCAAATCTGTAGCAATGCTGCAGTCACAGTGTGCTTCCACTGATCAAAAATAGATGCCTACATTGTAGAGATGTACACATGCTCTAGCCATCTCAAATTTTTACAGAAAGGAAGAGAAATAGGCATTTCTAGCATGGGATTCATTTCACTAAAGGAAATGTCTAACAAGGGTTGCTTTAACTGTACCCCAGAAGTGTCTGCTTTTGACAAGCTGAGACATAGGTGATGTAAGACCCCATCTTAACACTTCAGACTTTGTTTTTAATGGAGCATTTTGGTTTTGCTGGAGATGGGGGTTTCCTCTTTTTCCCTCTCACATGGCTGTTGCAGGGTACCACTACCAGTATTATGCTCCTGTGCTGAATAGAGAATCTGGAGAAATTTTACAATCATCGTTGAATTTGCCCTTACCATCCTTCTCTGCTCTGTTTAGTTGAGCTGATTAGTGAGTTTGACAGATGTGTCCACTGCTCCAGAAATCCTGTGGGCCATGCCAGGATTCCCTAGGGTGGGCTTAGGAGCTTGCACTGTTGCATTTAAGTGCTATTCAGAAAAGAAACAACCTGTGCTTCCAGCTAACACGTGCCACTAATTGCAGTGTGCCATTAGCCAGCTGGGTGCCTGAATTGTACCTTCTTTACCAGCCCAGTGCCATATAACCTTCTGGTAGAGAGGGTCAGTGCTTAAGTCAGTACAAAAGACAGCTTAGTTTGCCTGCTGTTGTGTGCTGAGGATACACCCTGCTTTACTATTTCACTGAAAAAAAGAGGATCCACTTTATTCCACCTTTTGCTCCTATATCCACAAACCAGCCCTTTCAAGCCATGTAATCACTCCGTGAGGGTATTTGCTGACCATTTGCAACTATCAGATGCTTGGGTAATGCTGTACCATTATTTTTAAGCCCTAGCAGAAATGAAAATAAACAAAAGAAAGCTGAGGTTTACCCTCATTGGTCTTGATCTAGAAATGTCAAATAAACACGTTATCCCTCTGCAGGTCTCAGTCGGTTGTGGATCCTGGGGTGCTGAAACGCATGGATAAGAATGAGGAAGAAAATATGCAGCCTTTGCTTTCACTTGACTAACAGTTCCTGAGCATCGGACATGAACTGAGGTGGAAGGCACTGCCTCTCAGCAACAAGCAAACCATTGGGAAAGAGCGTACCAGCTGGAATCCTATTTACTCATGCTAATGTAGCATAATGGCAGCAGGCAGCAGGTTTTGCTCTTCTGCCTGAATTCTGGATGCCCTGGGGTGAAAAAGAAGAGGAGAAAAAAGGAAAATAAAATGAAATAAAAATAAAGAGGAATCAATAATTTATTCTGTAAGTGCCAACTTGTTTGTAAATACAATATAATCCTTCAATTTGACTTTGTAAGTTATGGTAAACAAATGCTATGGAAACGAGTGACTATTAAATATGTCAGTGAAGTGCACCATAAAAAAAGAGAAGAAAACGTGTGTGCGCATACACACGCACACAGATACACACAGAGAAACACATACTGGACAAGATAAAATATCAAAGCCAATTAAATGTTGGCCTTCTCATAGGAAGCCATACTGCAGCTAGCATACTGACTGCTGTTTTGTTTTCTCTCTGCAATGCTCATGTAGTGTGCAAAGATAAAGAGGGAATATAAGAACTTGGAGATGCTGTAATCGGTTGAATATTTCTTAACTGTAGGAACTGATTTCCCAAATAATGTTATAGCTTAGGATTGTGATTTAGCATAAACCATGTAGCATTGTGAAAAAGATAACAGATGAGCTGGAACCAACTCTTTGACAGCTTTGTTGTTTGGCTGTATGGATCTGTGAGGTTTCTTCCTTAACTTTTCATTTACAGTTCGCAAGCAACCTGGCTTGTTACCCTAAATGGGTGTTGTAGTGTGGGACACATTGGAGTTACTTCTCTTGCATTTTGGGTGCACATCAAGAATTTTTCCAGAACTCTGTTCTCTCCTGGAATGAGAAAATAGTCCTCTAAATACAGCGTAATAACTGGTATTTGAAAGTAAAGCCTGGCAGCAGAGGTTAAAAGTTAATCACTAAATCCTGTGCACTGGGAGACTGGATACATATATATATTTTTACCAATCTCTGACAAGCATACAAGGTGACATTGTTAGACAAGTATATTTAATTGAAGGTTTATACAAGAAATCATACCTATTCAATGTACTTAGATATATTATAGATCGTATATTGAGACAATGTCATTATTAATATAGTAAAACTTTCCATAGAACAACAGCATCCCACTCCAAGCAAGGATTAATATGAATAAGTTGCAGTCAAACATCTCAACCTATGTGTTTAGGACACTTTTGTTTTTGTTGTAGTGTAACTGTATATATTGAACATGTGCCATAATAGAGAAGTACATTTTACCTCAAAAGGGCAACAGGTTTCGCTAGGGATTGGGTAAATCAGCTGAAACCCAGGGGCTGTGTCATCTTTGTTGTGTGCTGGCTGATGTGTGTGCAGCCTGTTTTATCCTGAGGCAAGAATGCCATTTCTTATTAGGACTTAACTCTGCAATCAGAGTGAGAAGACACAGGGTACCTACCCACCAAGACATCCGAATAGTTAGAGGTATTGTAAGAGCATGTCTGGGCAATGCAGGGATTAGTTAAGAATATACTGACCACAATGGAGGAGATAGCTCACAGCACCCCTGCCTCCCATGCGCCAGAGTTTAATGAATTTCTTCCATCACTCCAGTGATCACTGAAGTTTCAAGGTCACCGGTTGTAGGTCACCTCTCCTCGCCCAGGATGATTGCAGCTGTAAGATTTAGTAGGCTGGGATGAGTTAAGAGAGAGCGGAGAGCGAAATCTTGGAAGTGTGTCATCTCAGAGTTTAGCTGTAACTGCTGCAGTGGCAGCTTTGGCGTTTCTCAGGGCTGAGACACCCCTGCCTCTTCCAGCGTCACCCTTGATTAGCCCAGGCAGCACACAGATACAGCTTTCCTACTTCGCAGTTCATTAGAAATGCTGATAAATAGTGTATGCCCCAACATGCCATTGCATTGTAGGAACTTGTCTGAACAAGTCACCGCCTTTCTGCTCTCCTAATTCTATTTTCATGATATGTGTTATGAAATGCAAAAAGAAAAGATATGGAGCCTGAACATCTTTTTAGTCTGTCCTACGAGTTTTCAGTAGTAGAAACTGTTGTAATACTACTTCTATGGTTTGAGAGACTTGAAAGATTGATGAATTCTTACATACTATTTTATGCAGTCCTGTTTTTCACATACCTTGTAACATCATGCTGGATAGGTGAGATGTGCCTCTAGGGTTTGCAAAAGTGCCATATTTGAATGTATGTTATATATGCCCACACTTATGGTTAGTAGAATAATATATTGCCATTGATCTGATTTTTTTAAATCCTTATCGGATAAAACTCTAACATCAGTAGAAATTTTCTCTTTGTAAGGTCTTCAGGATTTAGTCAGTATTCCATATGTATGCAAACTGTGACACAGTGGTGATCAAAATCTTCATGGATGCTTTTGGATACATGGGCCAAACCTTGGTGTAAACCAGCACAATGCTCATTTTAGAGTACACCAGCTGTCTGGTCAGAAAATGCAAATGCCTCTTACATCCCCACAGAGCATCTTCATAGGAAAGTGTATCTGCTCAACTGTATGAAGCTTAAAATCTGTTTTGAAGCTTATAAATTTGTTTTGTTTGCAAATCCTTTATTTATGCACTTAGCCGTAATTTATGTAATGTTTTCTGATGCCTGATTTCAGCTTCAAGTTAATGAGTATTAATATATTCTTTCCAGAAAGTGAAAGTAGAATATATTATAATTTTGTGTAACTGGGACCTCATCTTTCACCAAGAGCAAACCTACTTTTCCAATAAGATCCTCACTGTTAAGGAGTTGGGCTACAGGTCTTCTTGGCTGCAGCTTTTATTTCGCTGAAGCAAATTCTGGCACTGGTAACTGCAGTTGTGACATTGGATAAGAATATGAAAATGGGTAAGAAAAATAATTATACTTTACATGCTCTCAGTATTCTTTGAAGGCATGTCTCTTTTACACATCAGGGTACATAAAGGGTTTCCACCTTTCCCTTGCTTCTTGTAGAAAATTTTTATAGGTAGGTCAATTTTTAATAGATGAAACTTGGATTGAAAACTTTTTCCAATCGTTATTATCATAGGAATTGATGTCTAATTTTTATAGCAGAATTGAAGTGCTAAAAGTAGAATTCAAATGCTTGGGAGGAATTCCTCTTAATTTCTTACCTTTGTTGTGTATTGGGTATAATAAACCTTGTTGTAATTATGCATGCCAATACGCATATAAAAAATTATCCTGCAATATGAGGAACTTAGTGGAAAAGCTGGATACACCTGTCCAAGCAACCAAGTGAGAAGAAAGGGGGAGGAAAAAAAAGTGTAAAAATTGATAGTTTCAGGCCTTTGACAAGATCTAAAAATGTCCCCTTATACATGATGTCTCTTCCATGAAACAGATGTTTAAAAATATATGGAAAAGTTATGGAAACTTCCATGCCCAAAGCCTTCCTCCTGTAATCAGAGGTGTCAATAGTCTCTTGGACTTATAAAGACAGGTAGTCAGTCCCACTAAGCTCCAACAAATGCACAGGCTCCCAATAGTTATTAGTTGTAAAATAGCTTTAAGATGTCTTTACAGAATGTAAATTTACTGTATAGCATATTTAAAAAGATGTTTTGCACTCTACAAACATGCTATGCCTAGTCACAAAAGATATTTGTAGAGACATACATAAACTAAACATGGATTAAAGAAAATAGGAGTAGAAGGGACCTCAAGAGGTCATTGATATATGGAGGAACAGAATCACTTTAAAGTCTCTCTTAAAGAATTGTTTTAGATCAGTACCTTGCATGGAATGCTCTTTGTATTATTTAATCACAGTCACAGCAAAGCCTAAGCACATTACCTGACAAAATTGTAACCTGACAGTATTTTGTTCATGCCTTTTATTATTTACCTGTTCTGTTTGGGAAATTAAAAAGTCTGCCAAGTGTCATAAGAACTACCATTTAGAATTACCTGGAAATCACTTTGCAATAAGCTTTGGTCATGTCCCTGTTATCATATTGTTTCTGTTATTACCAGTGTGTGTATTCATCAAGATTTTTGAAAAAGTCATGTTTGACAGAGTGTGGAAGAGAGAAAAATTCAAAATCAGGGTTCAGGATTTTGTTTAGAATATTGAAATAGGATTTGGGGAGGGCACTGAATTTCATTTTGATAATCTTTATTTGCCTATGGGGAATGTCCTGCTGAGCTACTGACAGCATTGGGTGCCAGGACAAATTTGGAAGATAAGTATCAATGCGAAAGGCAAGAGCAAAAGTCTCAAAGGATTGTACTGAAAAATCACTTAATCACGTGGCTAGCTGTATCATGTCCTTCTAAAGAAAGGCATTTTGCAAGTAGCTTATGAGCATGTATCTGTGGTGCTGAGAGTAGTAGTTTTGCCCACAAAGTTCAAAGCACACTATGAAATCAAGAAAATAATAGTTATCCCATTTCTCAGGTAGCAAAACAGAAACACAAGCAGTTAGAGACATTAAAATATCAATGGAAGACATTCACATTGTGTTTATATATGGCAAAAATGACACTTTGATCACTTAGTCTGGTTTGAACTGCTGGAGAGAAAATAATGTGTCCCTATTTTGTGTGAGAAGAATGTGTGGCTGTTGATTCAGTCATGCCTAGTGTCTTTAGAAACTCAACTAAATATGTCACCATGAGACCTTTACAAAACAGGGGTGATCTGCGTTCCTGTGGAGTTAAATCTGATTGTATATTCTACTATTTCTGCTGAGGAAATGGTAAAAAGGGAGTATGCCCCCAAATGAAATGCCTTTCTTCTCTGTATAATTGATTGAAAAAAGGTAGTTTACTCTGAAGACCCCCAAAACGGAAATCTTGGCTGCCCAGTAAAGAATTCTGAACTTGGTCAGGGAGGATCTCCTTTTAAGGGCTTTGAAAGATACTTATTTCCCATTAACTACAGAAAGAGCGTCAGCATTTTATTTAAAGGCATGCTTAAGTGGCCACAAATGAAAGTGCAAGCTGGGTAGATAGGACCCCACATCCTGTATTGCCTTGTAACCTTGAATGATCCTGTGTCAAGGGTCTGTATTTACCACATTGGCTTGGACATACCCTTCAGTCTGCATTTCAGCTTTCAGTTGTGTGGGAATTATTTCCTATCAGCTTTTGGGATCTTAAATTCGTTCCCTTCATATGGGTCTGTTGC